GTTCTGGCTGTACACACGCGCGCGGGGCATCCTATCAGTCGTTGAAGCCCATGCAGAGCGGGCAGATTGGCAGCAGCAACTCATCATCAGGCTGGCGGTCGCGCGCGGCGGCGGCGGCGGCGGCGGCCATTCAGATTGACCTTCTCTCCCGATGAATCCGCCAGCGGTTGGCGCAGGTCCATGTCAACCATTTAGACTGTTGACTCTGATGATCACGTTTCTATCGCATACCAACAAGGACTTGCAGAAATCACCACCACAAATGCTGGCACGGCGGCCCTGCGCCTAGGAGTGCCTTCATTAGTCGCAACCCCTGAATCGTTCGCGACTCTTTATTCATCTCAACTCTGCCCGTCTTACTCATCCCCACACCCACCAGCATCATCAAGAGCATCGCTTGGAATCTGCACGTCTCCGAGGTACCACCCAGGCAAAACAGTCTTGAACTCGACCCGCGATCACGAATCTTCTCCAATCGCAGTCATCAGTCCATCCAGTACAGCGACACGAATCTAAACCAACATCCAAAGCAGTGACGATCCCTTAGCCTCGCTGCTCCTGACGATCTGAGGACAAGCTCGGAAGGGGCGCTCACACTGAGGCTCCCGACGGACGGCGTTGCCGCTAACTTGGCACGAGCCAATCGACCCCGCACGCGGTCTAGCTCACTCGCGCACCAAGATCATCAACACCGAGTTTTCGATCCACCACCAGACTACACTCACCACTGCTGAGAACGCGCGACGGCTGCGCTTTTGACGCCGTGGAGTCTCTAAATGCCCGCAGCGGTCATGGCGTACCCCGCGAGGAACGGCGGGGGCCCTTTCTCGCCGCGCTCCCCGAATACCATGCCGATGACGAACGGCCCTCCCATGGGTGATGGCCTCCAGAGTGGTTCGAGGAACGGCCCAGCCAGCGCGGGCATGATGGGCAGGAATGGAAGTCTGGGCGGTGCATCGTCTGGCGCAGGAAGTGACGGAAGTATGCTCTCTCCGCCCCATAGCGCCATGCGTTTCAATGGGGGCTTCACTGCTACCTCGAACTCGATGGCGAGCGAGCCTGGAAATTCCGGTACCGCTAGCGACGCACATAGAATGCGTCGTCCAAGACCAGACACCGAAGAGATCAAGCGCGTTGGGCGCATACACTATCAAGAACTGCTCACGTTCTTGAGAAGTCATCTTGCCAAAGGTGAGCAGCTCGCCTTACCAAACGGTCCCATCACAATGCTGAGCTTGCCTCGTTTCCTTTTCCTCAGGTCAAAACGGCCCTCGGAGCAATGCCCGCGAGAAGCTGACACGTCTCAGCAAGCAGCAATTTACAGAGCTCAGCACTGATGTTTACGATGAGCTTATGCGCCGATTAGACAAGAGTGGCAACGACATGCCACACCTCGCGGTGCGCGATGAGTTTCATCCGAAGCGCAACCAGGCCAGACAAAAGCTGTCAACGTTGCCAAAGACACGATTCAAAGACCTGTCATCCGACGTCTTTTTCGAGCTCGAAAGGCGCTTCCCAGAGTTGAGGGATGAGTTCAGACCCGATGCAGCTGAGCGCGAGAGGGAGGAGAAGGCGCGCGTTGACGCCGAAGCTGGGGCTGCCGAGCGCAGTCGAGCGCCACCAATCAGTGCGCAACCTTCCACGGCGGACGTGATTATTCCAGCAAAGAGTACACTCGTCTCAGAGGATATTCCGCTGCCATACTCCCCAGGAGGTGGCGGGCGACCGCCAGATGACGAGACGAGTGGCGATACTGGTCCTCGTCCCAAGAAGGGTCATTCTTCTAGCTATACCGATCACTCTCGAGACTCACTCGCTTCCAACAGGGATTTAAACGGCGCGCCTGATAACCGCAGCACAATGTATTCACAGGCGTCCAGCGTCGGCACAGGATTTCTCAATGGCTATGCTGGCAGCCGAGCCACCGAGAGTGTCGCAAGCCCGAATCTGGTGAGCACCCGCCGCACGTATGGCACATCTTACCCTATGCCTCGCTCACCGTCGCTCTTGCACCCCCCAGCAATCCTCTGCCACGTTTGGCATAGAAAAGCTGCGCTCAGACTATGAGTTCAGGATAGCGACCCTGAATCAGCGCGTTGGTGCCTTGGAAACTGAGAATGCTGAACTCAAGGAAGAAGCCGAGTCAACAGCTTCCAGTGCACGGGGTAAACTTCTAGAGGTGAACGAGCACAGAGACAGGGCTAAGAACCTTGAGAAGGAGCTGGATGGCCTGCGCGAGCGTCATCGCACACTGGAAGAGCAGCATCGCCAACACAAACACGTGAGTTGCATGGACGACCAGGATGCGGGCCAGTCGGGCTTACCTCTGCACGCATTACCTCCCCAATCCAGTTGCACGAAGAGAAGCACACCCAGCTAGAGCAGACCCTGAAGGCGCTAGACGACCTGCAGCGAGAGCATGAAGACTTGCAACACGAGCATGAACGGCAGCGCGTCGCTAGCGGAACTGGGAATGCGGCAGAGCTGTCAGAGCAGCTTGATGAGCTCCAGAGAGACTATGCACACCAAGAAGACCTCGTCAATGAGCTTCGCAGTGAGGTTACATCATTGTTGGACGAAATTCGCCAGCTGTCCACTCGCAACGACGAGATGATGGCAGAAAAAGAGTCCGATCTTGTGGTAGTCCGCGACCTCAACAACCAGATGCAGTCGTACAAGCGCAAGTATGAGACAGCGAAGACGGAATTGCGCGCACTCAAGGCCACCTCGCAACTTTTCGTACAACCACCCAAAGCGGACGAAGTTATGCCATCGACTGAAGGAGGCGCCATCGCAGACGTCAACTTGACCGCCTTCCAGAGCTCCATCGATGAGCTCCTCTCGGCTGCACGATCAAAGACGCCAGGCAACGTCCTCCTGAGCATGAAGACGGTGGTGCTAGCGTCAACTTTGGTAACTGACGACGTGGTCAGATGGGAAGCTGCGAGCGGTGGAGAGCTTGGACCAGATGAGCGCGAACAGCTTGGGCTGCTGAAGAGCAAAGCTAGCAGCACGCTCAACAATCTCATGACCGCGTGCCGTAACCATGCGTCCAGCCAAGGCATGTCGCCAGTAAGTCTGTTGGACGCAGCTGCCAGCCACGTCTCCACCACCATCGTGGATCTGGCCAAGCTACTCAAGGTCCGAAAAGCTAGTCAAGCAGAGACAGAGGAGCTCGAAGCTACTTTCGCTCAGGGCTCACTCCCCAACGGTCTAAGGCCATTGCACATAAATGCTCTAGCACAATCCAACAGCCGAGAGGCGCCGTTTTCGCCAACCACTGGGGCTCCGATTTCGGAATTCCGAGCCAGGCCTAGCCTTGACGATCGTCTTCAGCCAAGTGCGGCCAATGCTCCGTCTCCGAGGACGCGCTCAGGACCTGTGATGGGCCGCTACTCGCCCGTAGGCTATCGTCCGGACATTGGGAGAAAGAACTCTCAAGGCGAAGGATCCTGGCAAGGTAGTCGACAGCGAACGGCCAGCTCTTCCTCCAACTCTAGCAATGCAGGGGCTTCCGCCAACATACCGGCTGTTCCCCCCATCACACAAGAAATGCGGCAAAAGTCATACGCGAGCAGCACTCGACCGTCTTCTGCCGCCAACACTAGCGCGCCTCCTAGTCCTGCTGCGCTTGGCAGATCGCCTTCAGGCTCGACACAGGCTCAGACACCCCCGTCCGGTCCGCTCGATGATTCCGAAGAGAATTGGGCCGAGCTTCGCAATTACATCGAAGTGCAGACCGAGAGCATTGTGCACGCCATCCAGTCCTTGCTATCGGCCATCAGAGAAGGCGCTACTGGAGTGCAGCTGAGCGAGAATTTGGAGCAGATCACCACTATCGTGTCGTCCATCGTGGCGATCTCCAAAGACAATTTGCCCACCGGCCCTCGCGCTGCGGAAGGCGAAAGGATCCTGGCCGCCCTTCTAAGCGACTGTGAGAAGCTCTCGGAAATGCAGTCCAAGCCCGTATTCGACAAGGCGACTAAACGCACCATGGCGTCTGCAAGCTATGGCGTGGCAAAGGGTCTCAAGGCGCTCAACTCGCTACTGTCGCCTCTCGATTAGGGGCTTGCTCTCTCACCTGAGGCTTTTCAATGCTGTTCTTTTACAATCCTGATCTCACTGCGCTCCTATCTTGCCCTTTGTACATGCTACGTTAGTTTCTCGAGCCGACACCTGTGCCCTAGTCCCCGTCTTCTCGTCACGTCACGAAGAATGATATCATCTGTAGGCCCTTTTCTCCTGCGGCATCTACACCTACCTCGTTAATTGCACGTGCTGCTCCGTCACCTTGGCTTGTGAGCCTAGTGTGTGAGACTTGGTCGTAGCATAGGCGATCGACCAGACTCTGACCCAAGAGCGAGAGTGACCAAGCTATTCTAGTCAAAGACTGTCAAGTCATCAGCGGGGCGCTGCGCTCACACGACAGACTCGCGATTCAACGTGCACCTGATTCTTGTGTCGGCGGAGCGTGAGACACGTGACCACGACGCGTTTGGCGCACGACGCGACGTGGCTTTCTTGTTCTCGTTCTGTTCATGCGCGTACCAACGTCGGCTTCGTGATCGAAACCGATGGAGCCGTATGATCGTGAGTCAGCCAGCGTCTGCAGTCACGAGTTGGCTTCGGCAACAAACAACCGACCGGTTCAGGCTGACCGACAATAAAAAATGAGACACTCTTCCTTAGCGTGTGATACTGCTGCCATGCAGCAAAACAGTCTTGGAAGCGCGCCGAAAGACCCTTCAGCAACCTCTGAGAAGGCACACGAGACTCACGGAGAAAACACGCGAAGGAAAGCATCACCTTCTGCCAGACGAGACGTTTGGACGATGCATGGATTGGCTATTGCCTGCTGTGCGCGCCTTTCCTCTCATTGCATGACGAGAAGCGTCGGACTGCAAAGTGTCCGCCGCGGCCCTAGATCGTTGTGTTTGCTGTGCACAGTGTCAGATCGAGACAGCAATGCAGTGAAATCCGTGCCATTGACGCAAAGGGTCTGCGCTTGGCGCATGAGGTGCCCGAACAACTCTAAGCGACACTCACGCAAGTCGTGATGCTGATGATGACGCGCGCGCGTTCCGACTCAACATCTA